GTGTATATTTATATATAATTGTGCAACAAGACAAGAAAAATAAAGTTATATTTTATCACATACCTGTGTATTTATAGTGTCTCCGTGTATAGTCTAATTGTAAGCGGCTGGATATTTACAGGATTCAAGCTTTTATTTACGCGTATGAAAGGTAAAGTACAATTTGCCATAGCCTTCTGAATTGAAACAAATTTATAGTATCAAGCGAGCACAGCTGCATTAAGTATTCGCCCAAACCTTGGTCAGTCAAAGGAGCAATGCATGGGTAAGCGTCAGTCATAAGCAAAGGCGGTTGCAAACGTCAGTCGGAATGCCGGCAATTTTGTAAGTTGGTTTTACATGCTGGAGGCGGTCCATTATTGTATTCTCGTCGTGAGGTTTGTTTTGTTTTTAAAAAAAACATAAAAAGTTCAAAGGTTTAATATATAGGATTTAAACCCCTGAAACTTGCGGTGAATTCAACTGTAACAGGCGATTGCAGTCGTATTAGATGTTACGCTCAAACATAGGTTCCCCTGCGTATTCGAGTCTGGAAGACCCAAGTGGGATAAACATGTGTATATAACCTTTGAACCAAATTTCAAGGATTTTAACAATGATATTGTGAAGGAATCCGACATAAACCCTTGCGCCTATGCGTGATAGTGTACTCATATGATAAAGGTGCGTGGTTGTGCATGGTTGTACATACATGGACATATTTCAATTTGTCGATATCATGTTTGTTAGAATTCCTCCTCACATAAATGCGAAAGTCATTATACATAATTTTACAAAAGTAATTTTAAATTCTGAGTATTATCTGGACTAGAGCTCGGTAGATGCTCCTTTACGGTTTCTCAGTTGTCTAGCAGGTGCTCCTGGTGACAGCGATACTGATCCCGTTTTCGACATAGCCGTCCTGATTGGTGGCTCTAGAGTCGCTATCGGTTCCAAAACCGGATTTTTGGCCTTCTTGTTTGCTCGACCGCCTTTCACACTGGAATTTAGAGCTGCAGAGGGGTCAATTTCGGCAGACCCAGCACTAAGGCTACCTTCTACGTCTCGCTGCGAGCTTTCGCTTCTTCGCTGTCTGTCGTAGAACCGGGTGTGAATCGGCTGTGCAGAACAATACGATTCATATTTTAATTTAATCCAAGCGTCATTCTCTTTCATCTTAATTGTGCCGGTGACTAGTCTGTGAAGAGTGCAGCCAAGACGTCAAGAAGACCGGTTGAACTCACGTTTACGGTTGAACTCACGTTTAGAGCTCAGTACAGGCGAACACATACAAAATAGTACTCATAAACTATACGGATATAAATATACTTAAGAAAAGAGAGAGACTCACAGAGGGTTAGCATGGAACTGTGTACACTTGTATGCCTGCGCACGCACATATTGTCACGTATGTTTGGGTGTGCATGTTGATTCTCCGGTGTTCCATCTTTGCCGGCATCGGCATACACTCATCACCGAACTATCACACAATACCCACGATTCTTCACCCCACCACGCACACTATTATGGTTTACGCTCTCATAGTTAGGCATACATGTTTATACTCATGCTTCGGTCAAGAACAGACACGAACACACACCGGAAACATACACACAGATCATAGATCTCGAATTGCTGACGTTCAAGTGCTACCTATTCCGAGTACCCCTTCTTCTTAATTTGGATAGGAATGAGACCCCATTCGAGCGCACGCGCAAATCCGCACACATTCATCGCGGCACGCCAGAACAATCACCTAACAGACCATCTCACCCGAACACGGGCTTGCAATTCAACTACAACAACACCATCACACACATACACACACACGCATCCATCCATAAATACACATACCTCATGGTCGCGTGTCTTTTTACGGCCCTGACGGTCATGTCCGACTTTCTGGTCCTCGTCCTGGACATCACTTGCGGCCGTGGCGTTGACTGCGCGTGTGCTGCTTAGATCAGCCGCTGTCTTTGGCGCAGACGCTTTCTGTGTCTTATCAGCGGTGTCGGGTGCAATGGGGTTGAACCAATGAATCTCCCCACACATGAGGAAGCACACTGCATTGACTACAGGCTCGAGGGGATCGAGTATGTTCCCACTGGGGATTCGACAGAGAGAGAAATCAGGATGGTATTGATCTGAACGAGTACTGTATACACACGGACTGTTCTTTTTCTTCTTATCGGTACAATTGAATACAATACTCGCAGTTAGGCTAGCTTATAGTACATGCGTGAAAACGTATTACCGCTGTTTGGCTCCTTGTCTGCTCAGCGCTGCCTGTGGCAACCGCCAGCAATCAGGAGTAGAGATAGTAACGGTTGAATTGCAAGATGGGTATGCATTGAAATAGTCGCAAATGTATTGAAGTAGTCGCAAATGTTGTATTAGTCGCAAATGTTGTTTTACAGAAATATTTAATATGATTGTTGGCCAGGAAATCGACAGGTGCTTTCAACTTCTTTGACCGATATAAGGGATGCCTCAAACAAACCTTACATGCACAGACATAGCGGTATATACAAATATACACTACATGTGAAATAGCGAATGTGGAAGCAGAGGACGCGTCTACAAGCTACACCTTACAGCCCTTCTGCATCGTTACCATAGAAAATCATGTATAACTACCATAGAGATACCAAAGTATGCCTTAATCTGGATACTGTGGAAGTATACCCAGAGTACGCAGACTTTTCATGAGGTTAACACAACACACAACACATACACAAAGGTGCAGGTGCATACGTTGATGGTATATTACATACCTGAGAATGGATAGAATACCGAAAGCCATCTCGTAGTAAACGCACAGCACCATTGCTACGTCCGGTGTGAAGCCCAATACCTCTAGCTCACACAGAGTGTAGAAGATACCAAACACAATACTCGAGCGAGTTGACCTGCACATGTATAGGGTAAAAGACAATGCACCAGTTATATCATAGGCGAATGGATAGACTAGAAATGATACATAGATGTGAGTGATGGCTATATAGATACTGAGAAGAGACAAGAATGAGAGATAGCTATCTCTATTCAGACCAAAACGTTGTGTGGATTTGAGTACGCTTCCTAGACCAAGCTCATTTGAATACTTGGTTAAATATGCGTACTTGGTGGTGCTAAGCACACCAAGGTGCCAATTTCTACCACCGTTTCCAACACCGGCTGAGCTGCAGAGCTTTGCAGTTTCGGCACTACGAGAGCCATTGGTGTGCAATCTATGGGCCATTTAAAAGGCCTTTCAATGGGTACGGTGTACATGCCGAATAACAACTGGTGAGAACACTATTGGTGCTTGCCATCAACGGATCACTAATAGATTGGTACCATTCGTCACGGCATGGGTTGAGAAATCTATGGCTAAGTTAGTGTGAATTAATGGGTAACTAGTTTAGTCACTGTAATAGTCTGGCACTACGATTACCACTGGTGCGCAATCTATGGGCCATTTAAAAGGCCTTTCAATGGGTACGGTACCACTGGGGTACATGCAATCTATGGGCCATTTAAAAGGCCTTTCAATGGGTACGGTGTATACTCCGCATAACAACTGGCGAGTGCACTATTGGTGCATGCCATCAACGGACCACTAATATATTGGTACCATTCGTCACGGCATGGGTTGAGAAACCTATAGTTAAGTTAGGAGGAATTAATGGGTACCCAGTTTAGTCCCAGCAATAGATCGACACTGCGAGTACCGTTGGTACACCACCTATGGGCCCGTTTAACAAGGAATTCAGTGTGCATTATGAATATACCGAGCAGCAACTGGGGAGTATGCTATTGGAGGAAGCAATCAACAGGCAATCTAATATATTAGTACTTGTAGTCACGGCATGGGTTGAGAGATTCACAACTCCTAAGTAGAACTAACGAGCACATTCATGGGTGGCTTAGTGGGTGACCAAATTAATGGGTGAATTAGTGGGTGACGGTAAAAACATGGTAATACAGAGCGTATCGCCTTGGGTTAAAGCGACACGGATAGCCAACTACAACAAGTGAAGTGGGTAGATAGTGGTCAGGCTAGTGTGTGACACGAAGCATGGACATGCCCAACCTACCGGCCTGGATTGAGCAGCTCACTGTTTCCGTGTACTCCACGGATTCCTTTCTCGTAGGCTGCAAAGTACGAACCTCCACTCGCTACAGCAAACATGTTCACACAGGTAGACAACCGGGGAGATAGGGGTTAGTTTAAGAGACCGGACAGATTGAAAGCGTCGCTGTTTCAGTGTCACTGACCAATGTATGTACACACGTACGTACCATCGTTCTCGCTACTGGTACTACAGCTGCAAAAAAAAGTGACGAGAGGAATGGAAACAAGTTCTATAGCCAGAGTACAGACAATATAATAGAGGGTGTGGGGAGATTGGGTGGGTGGTTTGCACCAGAAGGCAAGAGAATACCCATGCGTCTACCGCCCATCACCAGCATACGCAGTGAGTCTGAAGTGACAGGCCAAACACTACTTCGGAAGTTTTTTTCGACAATGATCGAGCCCATGTGAGTAGTGTGCATACGTCTGTATCTAATCCTGAGACTCGGTAGATGGCATGTCAATAACTTATGCCAGTATATACGTATACGAGTATAAAATTATAGATAACTGTGAATATACATTCGCACCTAAGTAAGCCTACAAAGTCTCATGTCGGACAGGTTTCGGAAGACTCGTTTACGACAATTTTTAGGCCAACGCGTGTGGTTCTGGCTTACTGTCATACAGGATGGCTAGAATATTTTAGTGTATGCGTGTATGTGTATGTGCATGTGTATGTGCATGTGTATGTGCATGTGTATGTGCATGTGTATGTGCACGTGCATGCGTATGAATATGTATATGTATATGTATGTGTATATGTGTATGTGTATATGTATGTGTATCTGTATGTGTATAAAAGTAGAAATACAAGTATCTATACATAGATGAATACAAATACGCGGGCCGCATCAACACCTTTAAACCAACATACAGTAGAGCAAGCCTCCAATGATCCAAGACAGGCACGATCCGGAAAAGGTACTCTTGGCAATGTTGAAGCCAATGAGTGTGTTGCGCACGCGTCTGTGGTTAACAATCAGACCCAGCAACTGGTACACGTAGCGATGATCGACTATCTCCCAAAACATATCCAGCGGGCTATGGTTCACGATGTACCTGTGCAACACAACCTGACTGTGAGTAGGTGTGTTTCTTACCTGTGCGATTGATTCCTCATATACGTATACACACACATACACATACATATACATACACACATACACATATACAAACATACACATACAAACAGATACATGCATGCACATGCATATACACATACATACAAGTATGTTCCCGTGAGAACTGAAACATATCCAGCGGACTATGGTTCACGATGTACCTGTGCACCACAACCTGACTGTGAGTACGAGTGTTTCTACCTGTGCGATTGATTCCCCATATACATACACACACGCATACACATACACATACCTACACACATACACATACATATACATACACACATACACACACATACAAACACATACATGTATGCACATGCACATGCACATACACACAAGTATGTTCCCGTAAAAACTTCTAATATGAATGTAATACCGCTATTGAGGGTGTCCAAGGTGTGTGTGTACAACTCGTGTGCGTGGTTATGTTCCCATTGATGATCCGAGGTGAAACGCCCACGACTCATCATCAGTAACAACCAAACCAGACTAACACGCCCCACAGATGTTACAACATGCTGTAGCAAACGTTTATATACGTGTTCTTCCGGAACATGTGACCCGCAAGGCCAATGCAGCTAGACGGGCACAGTACCATGAACATACCAAGCAACCATTGGTGTTCCTAGCGCCCAGTCTCCCTGCTGAAACGTGGCACACGCCGATCCCGTGAGAAGACTAATGGATACCTGTCCGAATACACAGCACAGTACTGATCCCACCATGCTTGCGTACGGTGACTTCACAGAGAAGAGTCGGCCATGGCGTACCCCATTCTCTGTAAACCGGTGCATGTTATATTTATTTGGGTTCAGAATGAGAAAAAAAGGGTAAATATTTCTATATGTTTATGTATATGTACACATATGTGTATGTCCATGTGTATGTGGATATGTATATGTATTTGTATATGCAATTTCAATGTATATGTATATGTATATGCATATGTATATGTATATGTATATGTACATGGAAATGTACACGTATACGTATATGGATATGGATAAGTATATGTATATGTGTATATAAATTTAAAATGTTATGTATATGCATGCATGTATAATATATATATATATATATATATATATATATATATATATATATATAGTATATATATATATATATGGTGTGTGTGCGTGTGTATAGATATATATATATATATATATATATATATATCAGAATGTTAAAAAGTCACTGGAGGTTCATTGGTAACACGTTCTATTTGGTGCCACACAAGCCTCAAAAAAATCAATTCGATGGTGCAAGTTGTAAACACTGTTCAATATTCCAACCCCTTCCAAAGGTATAGATAAATGTTTTGTGCGGTGAAAGTATCGTACAAGACTGGACAATGATCGGCCGTTACCATACCCTGTGCCTTTCGGATTCCCATGCAAGTCCCAATACATGCGAGCGCATATAACACATACGCGTCAATGGTGGGTAGTATCATCACGGCCTGAGGAATATCCTCGGCCGTGAATTGCAGCGATTCCGGAATAACTTGATCCATTCTCTGGTAATAGTCTACCTCCTCGTGTATGTGTCTTATGAGTGGATTAGTTCAAATTGTTTTGCGATCAATAAGTCTGTCCGAATAACGCTTCTATCTACGAGAAGTTTGTGCATCAAGAGGATATGTACCAATATGTGTATATATTTTTAACGTACAGGACCTGTATTTATACCGCACCTTTATACTCGTACCCTGTATTTAAATTTCTAATATATGTTATATTATTCCACATACCCTCCTAAAAAGTCAAGGTGGCTATGTATAAGTAGTAGTAAGTCAAGGTGGCTATGTATAAGTAGTAGTAAGTCAAGGTGGCTATGTATAAGTAGTAGTAAGTCAAGGCGGCTATGTATAAGTAGTAGTAAGTCAAGGTGGCTATGTATAAGTAGTAGTAAGTCAAGGTGGCTATGTATAAGCAGTAGTAAGTCAAGGTGGCTATGTATAAGCAGTACTAGTAGAGTATTTTTTTTTGGGTACTATGTAACTACGTGATTGGATTTGTATTTATTATCTATTTATAGCTTTTCGGCTTTTTCAATCGGGCGTCCTTTAGCGAGAGATTATTTTCTTTATTTTTTTAGACAGAGACCCATAAGAAGTGTCACATCAGTAATCCTTATCTCAGACATCTGCGGGAGCTATTTATTTAATATCTCTGTAGCGTGTCCTACGGACGTTAGTTCGATCCCCTATTTTTTTTGTTAATTTTAAGTCTTCCTCTCGTTCTAGAGGGTCATGGTAGCGTAGGAATTATCTGATATGATTTGACTGACATGTTGCTACTCGCTAGTAAGTAGAGTATTGAACCAAAGCTTGGTATGAACACGTGAGATTGAAACAGGATTAGCAGCCCATGACCTATGTTTCAATAGTGCATCGAGACATTCTGATGTAATGTGTTGAACTACCGGGTGCCTTGGATAGCGCCGGAAAGAATAAAAGCAATCGTTATGTCCGACACACCTTTGTATATGAGTTGTACGTTTGCATATCGGCAAATAAATACAAATGTATCGTCGCAGGTGGGACATAACAATTATGTTTAAGCCTACCCCCTTCAGCAGAGAAATTGATAGGGACTCTCTTGTCACAAATGCAACCGTCATATATGTGTATTCTTGTTTCATATTGACTTAAAACTTCATGTTCTATCAAATTGGTCAAAACAGCTGAAGACGCAATCTCGCTAACTGACTCGGATACGCAGTCTTACATGCTCAAACGCTTGTTTCTGCTTCTCATCTGTTTTCTCATGAGCCGAGTGTCACACTATTAAATATCCATCGCAACAAGCTCTATAAGGTTGCCAACGATCGTAACTCTAACACACTTCTCAACCGGCAGAGATGAACGCCGGTGGTGATCGCATTCCGCATCACCATCTGATAGTGGGTTTTTCTAAGATGCCTACCTGCAAGTTGCCGTCTACCGCTCAAATTCTTACATCAATGTTCGTCCGATAATCAACTACCATACTTAATTCTCGACAACTGCCTACCACGCATTGTTCTCGATCTCAACCAACGACCACACTTGATCCGCTATAGCCAATTACCGCACTCTATTCCATGACATTCATTTTAGATTGCGTACTAAGTGGTATTAGCTTAAGGTTTGGTATCTTCCGTCTGCCACACACGCGTGTGTTGCTACAGGAGAAGGAGAGTTAACTTCAACAGCACCATATGTTAGCAGAAATTTAATGCACGTTTCACGCCACTATTTGTAGTCAGGAATGATCAGGGTCCTCTATACATAGCTAAGGAATATTAAAGAAGGTAATACACTGTATTTCATTACACAGTACTCCTGGCTCTATAGCATGATGGGATTCCACCTACTTTATTTCGAATTCTCATTATACAACATCATTTGTCTATAGAGGATTTGGAACGCTAATTTTGCTCCTTGCGATTAAACACGCCAATTACTATCCTTAGCATTCGAATTTCAATCCATTTTTGGAGTGGTCCATGACCGACCTCCCCAGATGTTAGTCCGCACCGCCGACTAAGCCCAACCAGAAAGTTTTGGTAGATATGACCCAGCACACCGGGTGAACGGGATCTCTACCACTTTAATCAGAACAAAGTCTGCACAGCCTCCTCTATATTACTAATTCATCTGAGATGTACAATGTATGCGAGTGTCTCAGTCTCAACTACCCCTTCGCTCCACCGCATCGCAGTCGTCGCCGTCAGACTCTGCCGTCACTCGTGCGCTGGCCTTATCAGTGCTATCCGCAATTGCCGCTGGTGAGCTTTCCACAGCTGTGTCTGTTGGATCGTCCACAGCCTTACCTGAGGTACGCTGCTCGACTGTATCTACTGGGCTTTCCCCAGCCGGGTCTTCTGCGATTTTCACGGGCGTATCTGTTGATGTGGCATTGTCGACAGGTACATCGTCGGTGCCCTTCTCAGCCGGGTTTGTTGTATATTCCACAGCTGTATCGGCTCTACTGTCCACAGTCGCATCTGTGGCATTTTTCATCACAGGGTCTACTATACTGCCCTCAGCCGTACCTGTCGCATTTTCCACAGGTGCACATGCTGTGTCAAGCTCAGCCGTATGTGTGGGTGCCTCTGCCGTCCGTGCCTCAGCTACACCGGCTGCCTTATCTCCAGTCGTCTCGGCTGTGCCGGGCACAGTGGTATTGGCTATACATGTCTCGGCTGCTGTATCCGTTACACTCTCCACAGTGGCATCGGCTGTACTTTCCACAGCCGATTCGGTTGTACTACTTGCCCCAGTCTCATCAGTTGTACTGTGCGCCGTTTCATCCAAAGGCGTGCTGCTGGCGCTGCTTTCCGCCGCATTGGTCGCACTCAACGCGCTCTCAGTGGCTGTTATCCCTTTCGTTATTTCAGTCCCCATCACACCGTCGTCTTGCGACTTCACACTTACAGACCGCCGTTCCCGCACACCACCCTTGCCATCCTCTGCATTCGATTGCTGGCTCTTCCTTTGTGTGCGTGTATGTGTATCGCCCCCATCCCTGGATCTGGTACTCGCACTCGAGCTAGTGCTTGTCCGCGAGCCCAACCGTGGCCGTTCGCGCGACTGTGTGCGCGCGTGCCTACGGCCACGTCGCGTGTCACGCGCCGGATTTGCGTCCCCGACGCACGACGCCCGCGCCGAATCCGACGCCCTAGCCATCTCCAACGACCGTCGCCTGGCTCGCACAATACCCATTCCACCACTACCAACCGCAGCACTGGCATTACTGAGCCCATTCGGTCTACCACCCCCATACACATCCACGTCCTCGGCCTCGGCTTTAGCCTTGGCGGCTGCGTCGCCTTGGCCGTTGGTCTGTGACGCTGATGTCCGTCTACTGGTGCTACCGCGTTCGTTCGCTCCCCTGCCACTCGTAGTTTGCCTACTATCGCCCGCTTCCCCACTCGCACCCGCTTGAGCCTGGGCCTGGGCTTGGGCCTGACCCGGACCGCGACCACTTCTTGTCCCGGTATTCGTCCCGGTATTCGCCACGTCGTTTCCGCTCCCGCCCGGCGCATTCCCATTACTCGCACTCAGGTTCGACAGCGAGCGCGACAGGTTACTCAGTGACCGACTCAGCGTACGGGTCAACCCACCCTTCGCATCACCCGCACCCGCCGCCAAGTCCATTTGGGACCGGTCCAGTTCGATCTGTTTACCTACCGCCGCCTTTTCCTTGTTGTTTATACTGGCCTCGTCCGTGCCGCAGCGCTGGGCCATGCTTTGATACGTGTCTATCCACAGCTTGTGGTCGCCAGAGGCCTGCAGTTGTGTGCCAAGCACCTCCATGCATTGCAGCATACGCGTGTCTCGGCGGTAGAGCTGCTTGATGATGGTCGTCATGTTCCGCATCTGGAGTGTACAGATCGGCGATAATATCAGTGGGAATAAGCATCTGGGGTGTTAATATGGGCGAGAACATCGGGTGGGAATGAGGAGCGTCGATCTGACGCTGAATGTATTCACGCAGGTGATAGAACCCGTCCAGTTGATGTCATAGTACTTCTCTATAACCCAGCCCTATCTACGCCCCCCCCCACCTCCCAGCTGCTACACGTCACTCATTCCTGTGCATTCGCTGTGTACCATCCGTGCATACATTGTCTTGCTGTATGTCCATAGGTGTAGCTACAACTACAAGCGTAGGGCTCCATTCATCCACAGAGCTCTACGATGCGTTCAGGCACACATGGCAACACCCTACAACCCACCCAGATGCCCACAGTCGCACCCCTAAACATGTGGGTCACAGTCCATTACGAGCCGACGACAACACAACAATAGCAATGCCACGAATATAGATACAGTCTACCCAATCCAACCTAATACAACTGAAGCCAACCAAGACATAGAAAGCTGAGCTGACAGAGACAGCAACCACAGGCTTACCTACCGCACAGAGGGCATCGATACAAACTCTACCAAAGAGAAGATACACAGCAGGTGCAGAGAACAGAACGCACCCAGACCAATCGCTTAACCCTAAACCCTAACCCTAAACCCTGCATATGAGCATAAACAACCAACGGGATAGTTCACACGCCCACACCTGACGTTCTATCTCTTCGGCCTCGTGTAGATCTTTCATTCGGTGCAACTGGTGCTCCACAGCATACAGTTCCGACCGCCCCAGTCCTTCGCACGCGAGTGCTATAGCCGATTCGTCCAGTCTATATATACGTATATACATACACGTTTAAACAGCGAATTGGACGTGTTATAGCCGATTCGTCCAGTCTATATATATATATATATACATAAACGTTTAAACAGCAGTTTGGAAGAGTGCTATTGCCGATTCATCTAGTCTATATATATATATATGTATATACATATACACTTAAACAGCGAATTGAAACACGGTTGAGCTCTGGATAGGCATGGCAGGATACAGAACAGGCCATGGCGTTTAGATAATCGGTATGCATTGGTATGCTATCTGCACACAATGAGCCCAAGCCGAGAGATTCAATGAGTATAACATTGGCGATTATATCTGAATAAACCATTGCTACTGAATACGAATAAATCATTGACATCGTATCGGAATGAAAGACCTGGTTATGTATGTACATTCACATGTATATCGGTAATTGCATGCGTGTCTACTGTGACTGGCCATTTCCGAGTTCCCATCGTACTCTACAACACAAACTTCCTAGACACGGATACCGTCGCAAGGGTACACTCCACCGTTAAGCGTATATACACATACAAGGCTCATACACTACGTTTGCATCTGAAACGCAGCGATTACATAACTCGTTCAGAGTATGCAGGCGTGTTCTCTATCAATAAAACAGCACACATCTACACAAAATATTAATTCATGAGCGCCATGAGGGGCGATTCGCGGGTTGCATATTTAAAATCTATTTATAGCACAAAAATTAAAAATCTATTTACAGCGCAAAATGCAAAAAAAAATTATAGCACAAAATCTAAAATCTATTTACGCAGGGAAAGTGTATTGAAAGTATACCGTGATATGATTTCGACTTTCACAACGACCCGTGATCAGGACGATATCATTAAATTTCAGCTTTCGGGACAAACTATATAAATAACAAGAGACAAACTATATGAATAACAAGAGACAGACTATATATAAAACAAGAGACAAACTATACCAACAACAAGAGACAAACTAAATAAACAACAAGAGATAAACTATATAACTAACAAGAGATAAACTGTATAACAAACAAGAGATAAACTATACACCTAACAAGAGATAAACTATACACCTAACAAGAGATAAACTATATAAACAAAAAAAGACAAACTATATAACTAACAAGAGATATACTATATACCTAACAAGAGACATATAAACAACAAGAGATAAATTATATAAACATCAAGAGACAGACTAGACTATATGACTAACAAGAGATAAACTGCATAAACAACAAGAGACAAACTTTATGAACAACTAGAGATAAACTATAAAAACAACAAGAGCCAAACTTACAGCTGCGGGTGTTTTGTAATATCCTCTCCACTTTCATCGCTATCCTGCTCCTCACTTTTCCCGTCTGTATTCCTGGAATCAGTATCAATGCTGTTCTGTTGGTGGGTATGATTGGTAGGTATGATAATATTATATACGTAATAAAGGTGAGTATAATAGTCCATATACGTAATAAAATGGTGGGTATAATGAAATCATATACGTACTAATGGTGGATATAATAATATCATATAAATAATAATGGTGGGTTTAATAATATCATATACGTAATAATGGTGGATATAATAATATCATATAAATAATAATGGTGAGTTTAATAATATCATATACGTAATAATGGTGGATATAATAATATCATATGCGTAATAATGGTGGATATGATGATATCATATACGTAATAATGGTGGGTATAATAATATCATATTATTATACCCACCAATACTGCCATTATTACGTATATCACGTACGTAATACAGTATGCGTGGAAGTGACATGTCAGATCGAGTCGGTGACTTCAGAGTGAGTCCAGATAGATTAGCATGTCAATACCATCTCGGCTATAGACTGCAGCGTGTTGTACACTATCCAAAGACATGCAGAGTTCCACTATTTCTAGAGTTCCAAGACCTTAACCCAACAATCCACAGCCCGGCCACACGCCACAGTATACCTGGTCATTAACTACAGGTACGGTCGTGCGATCTTCGATAGCTCACTACGATGCAATATCTCTTGTCTTACACCACCAGAGTCAGTAGATGTATCCGTTTATACATGTATGTCTGTAGTAGTTATGCGAGTAGAAATGGGAACCGTGACAACCCATTTATGTGACATGTATGTCTGTAGTAGCTATGCGAGTAGAAATGGGAACCATGACAACCCATTTATGTGACAACATCGGTGTACGCAGAATTCACCATAAAACAAACACGCTTGACTTGTAAAGTACACTGCAGCTACTAGTGTGGCAAGACATTTTTTGGCCCTTTTGAAGGCATGCTATGTTGGCTGGTAGACGCCAATTGACGAGGCCCCGATATATACATACCAGTTTGGCAATGACCACGCGTAGTTGTTTTGCGTATGAAGCATTCGCATCGCTGCCCGATTGCTCCAAGCGCTCTGCCATAAGGTTTACCCAAGTTCGCAGACGTCGGTCTTTGTCTTTTTGTTTGTGATAAAATTGCCTAAGGGTGGCGGAAGTGGAAGTTGGCTCAGAATAAGCTCTCATACATAGGAATATATATATATATTATATATATATAAATATATATATATATATAAATAATTCATATATATAATATGTA